TCTGCCAATCAGATGCCCGCAAAAAGATTTATTGCCAAGGAGTATTGTTACAACAAAGAAATAATCTACTAAACAAAAATTGACTTACTTTTTGTGCTAAGTATAGATAGACCTGTATCTTCCACTTCTTTTTTGAACAACATAATTTATCCCCATTCAAGTTATAGCATGCCATTATTTGAAATGGTGTTGCCTCTAAACAGGTAAACCAATTATTATTTACACGGTGACTGTCTATTGTGCTTTAAAACCAACATGCAATTACTTGTAGCATAATCCACCAATATATTTTGAATTTGATTATGTGCTGTTCATTTTTTGAAGCCATAACATGACTTCCCAGAGTTTATGTTCCAGACTTTTGACTAAGGCTCAGCAGTGGCACTGACTGCACTACAAATTCCTAATGGCAAAAACAACAATTGTGACGGGTGGGGTGAGGGTGGGTAGGATTGCTTCATTTAACAGCAGCTGCCATGTACAAAGTTAGCATTGAACTTACCCTCTTGAATGAATTTTGAGTAATCGTAGCAGTCATCAGTCAGTGGAACTCGAACCCATTTCTGGGACGCATTATACTCCACTTGCACCAGCATTTCTTCAGAACAAAAAGGGACACAATTACCACGATTGACAATGTTATTAATACAAGTCTCTCAAGTTCTGATCTGAGTTTGGGGTGAGACTTTGAGCCACTGACAGCACAATCTCTGTTTTTAATAAACTAAAATTTTTTATTTTGGTGTGAAAGTGTCAGCTAAAAAAAAAAAATCCACATTACAAACTGTATTTAAATCCCACTTTGCTCAGACTGACTGTATGTGCAGAATTTGAAATTGAATGCAATGGTTTGAAAATGAATTTCACTAAACGGAAACAGAATTTAATTGTTTGAAGCTGAATATAAAGTTTTAAATCGGAGTTATTTTGCTTCGAAGCTGTATTTTGTTGTATTAAAAATTCAGTTTGACTACTTTCACTTGCAGTTCCATAATTCAGATTTTGTGTCCCACATCTGGGTTCTTGATTAATCACAGGTTGACAGAATTGCATTTCACTTTGGTGAAACTGCCATTTTGTAATATAACAGAGTTGATGCAATCTACCGCAGAAGTGACAAAAAAAGAGACACAAAAGTTAATTTATTGCAGTGATTAATTATACC